AAAAAAAAAAAATTTTTAAAAACACCCAAAAAAAATTTTTTTTTTTTTTGGGTGGTAAATTTAAAAAAAAAAAAAAAAAAAAAAAAAAAAAAGCCCAATGCCCTTCCTCCAATGTTTTAAAAAAGATTTCAACTTTTGTGGAGTGGTTTTAACTATGGAAAAAAACTATTTAAAAGGAAATGCAAAAAAAAAAAAAAAAAAAAAAAAAAAAAAAAACATACCAAATCCTCTCTGCATCAACAACATAAAAAAAATGTAAATTTGAATCTTCTCTCAGTAACAACTCCTATATAAAGGCATCTTTTAGTACACCTTGGCCCTGCTAAAACTTTAATGTTTCTCTTGGGTCTTACTTTCCAGCAGCTACATGTTGCTGAAAAGCAAGGTACGTCTTTAGACGTACCTACAGATCAGTTTTTTGTGTTTTGAGTTCTTTATCTTTGGTGTAAGCAGAAGTTTTGAGCTGCCAACCTGTGGGTTGCATTTTGCTTTTGGATGAGCAGATTAGATTCGAGCTCTGAGCTATTCCAGTCATGCCTGATTTACTACAGCGCCATCGTTTTATCTGTGAAGGAGACAGAGAACCAGAAGAACCGGATATTTTCAGAAGTTTGCTCGGTTCAAACGAACCTGGAGGCACAGTCAGAAATCTGCCCCAGTTTTTGCTTGATAGCTATCTGCTGTGACGATTGACACGCTCTTCTGATTGCAGATATGAAGCATGTTTGTTTCTTTTGGTGTGGTGATCATGCAGTACCTTCTGCCTTTACAGCTGAGTTCATTTTGATTGTAAAGAAAATTTATAAACTCCAGCCAAGCTGCTTGTTTGTCAGGTTTTTCAGTTTGTATTTCTGTCTAAATTTCGCCAGGTGTTGACACGGGAAGTGACCCTTTAAATTTGGCTTTGGTATATTACTGGAATCCAAGTGTGGTGCATGTGTGGTAAATATATACCACACATGTTTTTTCCCTTTTGTAAAAGCTTAAAATGGCTTTTCAAAGTGGATACTTTTTGAAAAACAAGTTGTTTTTGATATATATATTTATTATGTTTTCACAAAACAACATTCTTATTATTTTTTTATTTATATTATTACAAAAACCACACTCTAGCTTCAGCCTGGATCAGATGTTGTATTTCAGAACAATAGCTGTGTGTAGCACAAGTTTTGAGACAGTTAATCCTAATCAGTTATTGAAATAATCATCAACTAATTTAATAATCATTTAATTGTTAACTGCCCTATATAGACTCAAAAGAATCCTATTTACTGAAAAAACAACACGTTCACAGCAGCAATCAAGCAAAAACTATACCAAAAGAATATAAATTTTGCGTTTAAGATTAAAAAAAAAATAACTTTTTCTGTAAATATGTTCCACTCAAATCTCTTCAATTGGCATAGTTTTCACTTCATCTGGTTCAAATTCTGTAAATAAATATTTCCTTATACACCTGTTAAATATAATTATTGTTTAATCCAAGAATAATCAACAGATTAGCCCTTTAATTTATTGAAGTCAAGCAGAATTGGCTGAGCTTTTCACATGTTGATGTTAGAAGTTATTTTCTTGCTTTGTAAACCCCCAGAAGGAAACAAACAGCGGTTCCACCTGATAGACGTTGACTCAGAATAATTGACACCATCTCAAACATTCCAGCTGAACATTTTTTCACTCCCTTGTTCACACGATGAACTTTCATCTTGATTAAAATTTATGCTGAGTAATACTAAACCCAAAGCAGCTCATCTGTTCCCATTTCACTTCCCATTTGCAACATGCATGCTGGTAAACCTGCTGACTTTATCTGCTGACCTTATCGGACTCTGACAGGTCACTGACTCTTAGTTCATGACTCTTCTTCATTAGGGAACTTTAATAAATTTCCCTCATCACTTGTTCAAAAGTTTGACCTACTTTGGAGTTTAAAACCAAAAGCCGGGGTCAAGTTGTAATTGAACAAACTGAGTGTTCTTGACGTCTTTCCAACAGCTTGTCCATGAGAGGGGGAAAAAAAAAAAAACATGTGACAAGTATTAGGAATAATAAGCCCACTCTGTGCTGAGTGGCTTTCCTGTTTCCAATCATAAACTGGCTGCTCTGTTATCTGAACCACAGATTTACCAAGACAAACATATCTACTTGTCTTAAATTTCTTTTTAAACATCTGGATTCTCTTGATTGCTTTTGTTTTGCACAGACCACAAATTTCTCTCGTTTACAAATTCAACTGTTTAGAGACATATTGTCAAAACTCCAGGAAGTCATGGGCTGTTTTTGAGGAATAGTGAAGTAGTCAACTCCATATACTGACCAGCAGTTGTCAGATTGTCTCCCAGTTTTGCTTTTTTAAAATTGATTTAACCTTAATTTAACTAGGTGAGTTATTAAGAACTGATTTATTATTTACAATGTCGACCGAACGGGAGGGAAGAACAAATGGGAAGATCAAGCAGCAAACGTTTACACTTCAACATTGGTAATGCTGTTGAGGTCATAAAGCAATAAAAACAAATACATAAGACAAATGCATAAAATAAAGTTGACATTTTAGCTGAAAGGTTTGAGGCAGCATCTTTTGTAGAAAATCTTTAAAAGTTTCTATTGATACAAATGTGCTTAGCTTAATGCTATTGTGGCTTATTCCAGTCTTTTGCTGCAGAATAATGGAAAGAGTTCTCCATATTTTGATTTTATTTTTGAGATCCTTTAGCATAATGTCTTGGGCTGAGCGCATCCTAAAGGTAGTTAAAAGAGTTTGTGGAATTTTTCTTTTCTTTTTTGGATTAACTGATTAATAACTGGATAGCGAAAAATGCTTCAGATATTTAGCTTTACAGAATTTGAACTGGATGAAGCTTAAACTGCCACTTAAGAAGCTTTGTGTGGCTCATACAGACTTTGTTCTTTCAGTAATTGGCATTTTTTGAGTCTGTATACTCCAATTAATGGTTCATCTGTTACTAAATTAGTTGTCAGTTATTTTAATAAGCAATTCATCACAATTAATCAGATTGTTTCACCCTTAAACCGGAAAGATAGGGTGAGTATAGACTTAATACACTGTTCTTCATAACTGCTTAAAAATGAAAAACAACAAAATGAAGTGAAAACTGTGGTTAAAACTCTACCAATTTGGCAGCATTTCAGATATTTAAAATAAACAAAAAAATCAATAATATTGATATCAACTGACATGAAATGCATATGTCCTGACATGTTTTTCAGCCGTATCGTCCAATAGTATCCTGAGGTTATATTGATATATTTCTGCTGATTGTTGCTATTTGCTTCAGTTGAGTTGAGTTCTGTCTCTGGCTGTTCTTTTACTGAAACACTAATAATAAAAAAAGCATTGATTTTTCTTCAGCTCTCAACGATTTAAGGAATCCGTCACGTTTCTACTTCTAGATATGGGCTCACACACAGCAGGCTCTTAAAAAGATAGTTCCTCTTCAGTGTTGCTGATGTGTGTTATTGCACACCGAAGGGATAAGTTCCACTTTTGCAACTCTTTCAGCGAGTTAAGGTAGAAAACATTTTTTTTTTTTGCCACTTCAGAGGATTACTCTTATAAAGTAAGAGTCGTTGCAATGTTGGATTTTTGATGTCATGCAGCAGAGCTGCACTCAGACGTCAACGTAGGAGGTGTCAGAATGAGGTTAAAGTGCTAAAAGCTGAACGCTGGTTATTGACGCTGGTCTGTAAAACAGATGGCACGCCTTTCACAGAAATATATGTTTAAATCATTTTCGACATACTTAATTTCTGGGTGGATTCTCTAAGACTGGATTTGGTTTCCACTTTTCTTCCAATTTCTTTTCTTTTACCAACACTATTTTGGATGTAAACTGAAACCTGTCTGAATTGTTACAATGATGCGTTTGCTGGTTTTAAATGGCAGAAACTGACTCAGCAGGGCTGATCTTTAAGATATGATATGCAACTGTTATAAAGTTGACAGATTGTTGACATTAATTTATGCAGCAACGGCCCAGCATTGGGCAACACCGTCGTATTTTCATTTTTACTTTCTGTTTAGCTTTGGACAGGTGCCAACATGTCAAGTTTATTTGTATAGTTTATTTGTTTTTAGCTTTGATTTATAGGGATTCAGTGTTTCAGCAGTTTTACAGTTTTCTGGGAGTTTATTCCAGATTGGATGAGCATAAAAACTGAATGCTACTTCTCTATTTTTTGCTTTTGTGTGAGTGAGTTGGCTGATTGTTCACACTGCTGCACTTTACAATAAAACCACAAGTTACAAATTGAGCCAAAAAGGCTGAAGAAGTACAATCATTGCATTAAACTTGACATATTGACACAAGTCCAGAATATAACCACAAAGTCCACATCACCCATCCTTCTCTATATATGGTTTCTCTGCTCTATTACTTATTAAATAATTATTTATTAATGAGTACTTTTAAACCTTGACCAAAATCTTAGAAATCTGACATCCCTAATTTAAAATCTAAAATAATCCTATTCCTCCCAGAGTCATTCATTTTAATACAGCCATAAGCAGTTCAACTTGTAACAAACTTCAATGTTTGTGTTGGGATTTTTTTCTGTTTGAGCAGGCTGCAACTTGTGCACAACTGTAAGAAAGAAGGCAGAACCTGAATTGTTATAATTGTTTTTGTTCGTTCGTATTCAGGCTTCACAAGAACAACAAGCATATTTTCAAATTTGAATTCATTCATTTATTTATTTATAAAGCACCTTAAAAGCCAAAGGCAACCAAAGTGCTGTACAGGTCAATAAGAAAATACAAAGTTCACAATTACGTGCTACTTTTGTTGTTCTGTCTCATTAACTCTTAACGATGTACGCTGACGTTTGTGAGACAAATGTGATGAAATGTAGGAAAAGCTCAAGAAGTATACTCACTTCTCTTAGGATCAGCAGAGGAGTTTAGGAACAGACACAGAAAAAACATAAATATGAAATACATTTCCATAAAAACAAATATTTATCTGACAGCTTTCACTTTTCTAGCAAGGCTTTGTGTCAGTATTTAATCAGCATTTAGTTAACCAGTACTTTTGGTTTGAGATAGTTTCTCTGTATTTCTCCTTAAATCCATAGGATGACATACAAGTCTTTTGTTAGAATAGATTTTGTTTCTGAAAATCCAAACATGTGAACATATAACAGTAAAGTGGCTCTTACATTGCATTTCTTTTGCCCCAGCAGAGCATACAGGCCTGTTCTCCTCAGTGACCCACTATGGCTCCACAGAAAACTGCAGTGACCATCAAGCAAACAGCAACGACAGCAACTGCAACAAGCAGAACTTATCCACGGCGGCAGCAGGTCACTGGGTCGAGGCCGATCCAGAGGAGGAGGCCATTCGCAGGAAGCTGAAGTACTTCTTCATGAGTCCATGTGATAAATATCACGCCAAAGGACGCAAACCCTTCAAGCTGGTCCTGCAGGTGCTGAAGATATTTGTTGTCACAGCTCAGGTACGTCAAAAAATTTATTCCGTTTACATTTCTACTCTGTATTAAAGCGTTTTTCAATCATCGTCAAGCTTTTTTAAACAGGCAAATAGAGAGGGCACACTGTGGTCCATGTGCAGCAGTTAGCAAGACATCCTGAGATATCGTGAAGTGCTTAAACTATGGGACTCTTAAGAGTTATTTTCTTTGTAACGCAGCCTTAAAAAATATTTCCTCCTCCTTTTGTTTCTGTGTTTTTACATGTGAATAATTCAGATAAAACAAGATAATATCAGACAAATGTAACCTGAGCAAAAAGCAGCTGTCAAATTATTGTTTCAGTTGTCAAATCAAGCTGGCACTTCTTGGTTTGACATTATTATTATTATAGTTAGGGGTGCACCGATTACAGTTTTTTGGCTAATTTCCTATCTTTAAAAATCCCAACCTGCCGATTGCGATTTTTTCTGATAGCAATTTTTTTGTCTGAAATGTTGCTAAATATAGCAAGAAAGCCATTGAGTGGGAAACAGTGAGGTGACTATTGTTAACTGCAAATGTGCAGACCTGACCTGGTGGCCGGTCTATCACTCAAGCCTCTCTTATGGGAGAACAGAAGAGGACAGTGGAGGATTTTAGGCTTTTGCTCAGGTAGAAAAGATTGGTGGATAAGATCGGCTTCATATATAAAGTCTTCTAGTCCATTAACATTAGTCCAGATAATTTAAAAGATTAGTTTAGCCTCTCCTGATTCTAACATCTGCTTTCTCTCTGTCCTTCTACTTTTTACATTTTTGCACCTTCTCCTGTGCAGTTAATAGTGTTTGGCATCAGTAACCAGGTGGCCGTTACCTTCAAGGAGGAGAACACAATGACATTCAAGCATCTCTTCCTCAAAGACTACGATCAATCCTCAGATGACTCCTTCGCTGTTTACACCCAGCAGGACGTGTACGACCACATGTTTTATGCGATAGAAAAGGTAAGAGGACATAATGGACCACGAAGGCCATTTTAGTTGACTTTCTTTTTCTGGTTTAAACAGCAAACACTGAATGAAAACATTGCCATCTCCTACTGAACTGAGCTGAACTCTATAACAAAAAAAAACTGTAGCAGAAGTTTAATTAGACTCGTAATAACTCACAATGATAGATCATTGTTTGCGTTTCTTGATAAAGCTCTGGGTTATGCAGAATATTTCCTCATTTCCTTCCACCTCAGTATCTCACCTTACCAGATAACACAGTAGGGCGCTACGCCTACGTCTACCACGTCGGAGTGAACGACAGCGCCCTCTCCCTCTGCCAACAGTACTACAAGAAGGGGCAGATCGATCCAGCCAATGACACGTTCAGCATAGACCCTCGCATTGTCACAGGTAACACAAACTGCACCATGCAGACTGTGAGTCGCAAACATACTGATTTTTTTTTTTTTCCTGAGAATTAATAAAGTTTTACTGACCAAATGAAGCCTTTTGCTAAACGATCTGTTTTTCAAGGAAATTACACAAGCAGTTCTGTCACCACCTGGCTTGGAGAAATATTTGGAAATCCTCTCAGAGAATTATGTGTTTGCTTTTTATTTTAACCGTTAAATCTTCTGATTCTGATGAAAAGTGTAAAGTCTTATCTTGCAATATGCCTATAAAACAGTGGATCTAAAAGTGAAATGTCATTTTTTATGATGCCTTAAATCAATACTTCAAGCATCTTTTGCTTTAATATCAGCATCAAGACTGCTTGTGTGCAAAAACAAAACTTTTCTCCAGAATCTGTTGAAAATGACACAAACTGGTTGTGTAGGGTGCCAAGAAGCAGCAGGAATTTCTACCAAGTGCTGCTTGTGCTTTACATGTGACCAGATAGAATATAATGCATCCTTATGTTAGACAAATAATTATTGAAGTTGCTTGTGAACAGACAAGGTCCAGTAGGTTGACTTCACAACAGACACATTCATCTTCATTGTATTTATTCTAACAAAAGTGAAAATACATTGACTTCCTCAATTCAGTGTGCTTAAACATGGATAATAAACAAAATGGCTAAAAAGCTAATTTTAGGGAAAAGGGTACTGCTAATGTGAGCAGTAGCTACATTAGCAGTGTTTGTGCTAATGTTAATGCACTGCCTTCTGATTTTTACTTTTGCAAAAGTAAAAATCACATTTACTTCGTGGCACTTCGTTACCAATAAACTCTCATCTCTTGAAACCAAATAAATTTTTATTTATTGAACACAAACTATTTTGAAATGCTGTTCATCTGCTTAGACAGAAGAAATTCACATTTGGTAAATTTTGCAAAAGTAAAAATCTAAATGTTTACTTCGTGGCACTTGGTTGCCAGAAAACAAGCTCATCTCTTAGCAACAGATTAACAAATATTGTTATTGTTCAAAAAAAAAACATAAGATGTCCATTACTGGTTGCTATGGTAACCACCAACTGCCAAGAGCAGCTTAACGGAACTTACCAATAAATGTCTGGAGAAACAACGTGTTGACTAAATAAAACAAACTCAAAGAATGATTAAACAAATTTTGACAAGCTTCACATCTATTGCATTGATAAAATAAAACCTCTGTTACATAAAAAATATTAAACCCATATTTAATGCTCTGGAAAAATTCAGTAGGTTTCTCTTTACCATTAAGATTCCCTCCATCTAACTGTTTCTTTTTAAAACATCCATTTAGAAAAAGTACTACATGAGCTTGAAGTTTCTGACTTCCTCATATAATGAGTCAGAAATTACCAGGAAGTTACATCACATCTTGCATGAACAAGCATGTGAAACATTTACTTAAGATTTAACTGGATCGTTAAACATTTTATTGTTATGTTATTTTATTGTTATTATGATAAATCACATAACTTAAAAGTGTCCTTGTCTGCTTGCTGTCTTCTTGTCAGACTGCATCGGCGTGAATCCTATGTCCGTCCCCCACAATCAGCTCACCAGCAGCTACAAGAACTTCACACTCAAGTTCCACAAGTAAGGCTTCATTTTTCTCATTGCTTCTGCCGACATTGTCAAAATTATCTTTAGATTTCTGTATCAGGCCAGTCACTTATCTGGCCTGCACAAACACCTCACACAGCAAGCTTTAAGATATATTCAGTAACACTGGCTCAACAGCGCTTGGTGTAAACACACAGCGGTGTGAATAACTTTTACTTCATGCAAGTTTTGAGACACTTCTTGTTTTGCCTGGTTATGTGAATATTTGTTTTGTTTTTTTAAGGTTGATTAATGTAACCATACAGTTCCAACTGAAGGCCATCAACATACAAACTATTATCAACAATGAGATCCCTGACTGCTACACTTTTCACATTACAGTAAGTTTACACTGGAAGCAAACAAGCATTGTTAATTCAAGAGTAAATAGAGGAGTAACACAAAGACTCTGGTATCAGAGTAAGACAAAAGAGATCACTTTTCTAAGTAGTTTTAGGTGTTAAAACATCTCAGGTAAGACACTAAAGTGCATGAAAGTATTATTATTATTATGTGGGAGTCCATCATGAGACGAGGCCACTTTTCAAAAAGCATGCTGTCTCTGTGTGGATAGAAATAACACCGAGACAGGCAGATATTGTTTACTGTGAACATGACACTGAGTTTACATAAAAGCATTGATGTAAGATCAGAAATGTGTTTCTGTTCTTCAATGACCAGCAAATCAAAATAGTAAGTTTACAAAATATTTTACCATTGTGCTGTTCATTTTTTGGTCACTTATTGGTTTTTCAACTTAAAAACTAAATGAAACAAAGAAACTGGACAAAGCCTGAATACTTTCTTTGCTGCAAGCAGCAGCAAAGAAAGTATTCATCACCAGGGGTCGTAGTACTTTTTAAAATATTATTTCCCAGCATATCATTATTTCTTGACATTTCCATAAGATTTAGTCATTGTGGTGTTAATTTTACTGGACTGCTAGCAAATATTTTCCTGTGCTTTTGAAGCAGTTCTGATCTTTCCAACATAATGGCGCTAAAACAATGATCCAGTTTATCCTGGTTTAAGAGTAGCATCACGATGCAAAAGAAAAGTCACGAACTGGATTTCAAGAAGCAAATCAAAAACAGATCAAATCTCCTGGCTGGAAATAATTTATTCATGTTAAATCTGGTAACACATAAGCCTTCACAGGTGCATAAAGGAAATCATAGTTACAAGTTGCTGAAATGTTTGTGAAAAGTTGGTGTAATATAATAAGATTTATGTTTTGCTGATTCTTCCTTTCAGATAGTGATGGACAACAAGGCTCACAGTGGAAAAGTGAAGATCTGGTTGGAAAACAAGGCGATGATGAGGGAATGTAAAGACCCAAGTGTCTCTGGCCATGGTAAGTCACCAAGCCTCTCATTTCTGACCATTTCATATGTGCTGTTGCTTCTTTGAAAGAGAATATTTACTGATTTCAGCTAGAAATAAACAACATTTTTGGCCGATTTTTGATTTTGTAAAGCTTTGACCTGCATACTTCAGTTTTGGCAGATTTCTCTTTAAGAACTTAAGACTATGAAAGAAAAGCATTCAAAATATTAATGTCCATGTTTTCTTTTGTGAGGAATCATTTCAAATTAGACACTGTGTAAGAGAACAGTCAATGTAAAACTGAGTTTTACTATTTCTTCAAAACATACAAAATAATTCTAGTGTTTGGATTTTAAACTTTGTCTTTTCAGTCTGTGTTAGCAATAAGTGCAGTTAGCATGGTTAGCATTACTAAAGCAGGAGTCTTCCTGCAACCATTATAATCCAAAGAGACATTTCTATCCAACTAAATCAACTTGTTTAGAGCCAAATGTGACATAATAAAAAAAAAAGACAACTTATGATTTCTGATGTAGGAAATTTGTTGTCATTTTGAAAAACTAAAATTAGACTTCAGTTTTTAGGTTTCAAATAGAAAAAAACAAAAGTTTTTAATGAGACCTTACATTTTCCACTATGGGATAATGTTATTTGTGGAAAATGGTATAAATATAAAGCAAATACTTTCTGACCTGATGAAAAGGAAAATGGATCAAAAATATATTATTGCTTTTGTAATACCATTCTGTTGTGGAAATTCAACAAAAATGATTCAATAAAAATCAGCTAAAAACTGAATTTGTAATTATATTTAAAATCATTAGTTGGCAAAAAGCCATTTGCTGCTTTGAATCCTCTGGTTGTAGAACAAGCATCTTCACATTTTGGGTTTCTATAAGTTTGACACTTACAAATCCACAAAAGACAAAAAACAGCAACTTTTCTGCCTTTTCAGCCTTCCTGTTATCTATTGACGGGTCATACAGGCAGATATGCTTTCATGCTTTCTCACAGGCTGAATGAACAACAGATAAATTTACAGATTTCTCTTGTAACAAATTTCAAGAGCCATATGTTCTAATCCATGGAGTAATGTAATTAGTGCAACATTAAACATGTTTAATTGTTCATGCAGTGTGAATCCCTTTGCAGGGCTTTGCAAATGCAGTCCATTTATAAATGTTCAAAACCAAAACGATGTAAAAATTTTTCTTTCCTTTTAAACACAGCTGAGAGTTTCACGCGTGTGACGTTCGACGTGATCGTTTGTCTGATGTGCCTGCTGTCTCTGCTCCTATGTGGACGCTCCCTGCTGCGAGGCATCATCCTGCAGCAGGTAGGAGGAGAGTTTCTTTGTAACCAAAACAAAAACAGCAAGAGAACCTCATGAGAACTGCTTCATGAATGTCACATAAAACGAAAAGCACAAACAGAAAACCTGAATGGTGGTGTGTATGTGTGTGCTTGCATAAACGTAAAAGAGTCTGACGGGTTTTAATGTTTGACTTTCTCCACAGGAGTTTGTTAAGTACTTCAAGGATACTCTGGATCGTAAAGTGTGCTGGGCGGATCGGCTTGAGTTTATCAACGGCTGGTATATTCTTCTCATCATCAGCGACATCTTCACCATCACAGGCAGCATCATCAAAATCTGCATCGAATCAAAGGTCCTACAGCTTTACACTCTTATAGATTATTATTTTTATAAACTGTGGAGGACTTATTGCTTTAGACCAACGTTTAAAACAGAAAACTGCTTAGTTCATTACTTTTAATGAAAGTGGAGCACTATTTACATTAGGTCAAGATTTAGCTACTTTTATAAACTGTGGAATATTATTTTATTACCTGGCTTAGACTAACATTTTCATACTTTTAATATTGGAGCAAGACCTAGGAGGAGAAACGCCTCTTAGTTTACAAATTTAGAACAAACTTAGAAAATACCGTCTACTTAACAACCCAGAACAAGAACCAAACCTGGAAAACCAACATTTAGTTTTATCAGAACAAGAATCCAAAGAAACTTCTACTGGTTTATAAATTATGGACTATTATTCTGATCAAACAAGGGGAACATTATGTAGTTTTTGGTTTTGTTTGCATTTCCTCCTAATTCATGCAAAGCACTTCGGACTGCCTTGTTGCTGAAAATGTGCTGTATAAATAAAATTACCTGGTCTTACATCAGCGTTATTTTTATTGTGTTGCTCTAGGATTACGTGAGGTGTTAGTTTTCTTCAACACAGCATTTTGATCTATAAGTTCAGGCGCTTCTTATGTTAAAAATGTGTCGTCCATCTTGCTTTTTTTTTCCCCTGACAGACTACGTCGTCCTATGACATCTGTGCCATCCTGCTGGGGACCTCCACCCTTTTGGTGTGGGTGGGAGTCATTCGCTACCTCACGTTTTTCCAAAAGTACAACGTAAGTCACGGATCCTCTGGCTGTTCTGTAGGCGAGCGTTCCTTTAAGCTTTTAGTTTGCCTGATCTTTGCTCTCTTTTCTCAGATCCTCATCATCACACTTCGAGTTGCGTTCCCCAATGTGATTCGCTTCTGCTGCTGCGTAGCCGTCATCTATCTGGGTTACTGCTTCTGTGGCTGGATCGTGCTCGGACCGTACCACGTCAAGGTGAATAAAACAAACATTTTGACTTGATTGTGTTAACTATAAACATTATGATTTAAAAAAAATACTTATTACACCTTTTTTAGGTAGCTGTACGGCTGTAATTTCGTTTTCATCTGAGCTTAGCACATTGTTCGACTTTTAATTTCCCCCCTCGACTCAGCTTTCATCAAACTACGTTCATGTAAACAATCTTCATCTCTGTTTTTCACCCCCCCACAGTTTCGCTCTCTGTCGATGGTGTCGGAGTGCCTGTTCTCCCTCATTAATGGGGACGACATGTTTGTGACGTTCTCGGAGATGCAGGAGAGCAGCACTCTGGTTTGGGCGTTCAGCCAGATCTACCTCTACACCTTCATCTCCCTGTTCATCTACATGGTCCTGTCTCTGTTCATCGCTCTCATCACTGGAGCCTACGAGACCATTAAGGTGAGACACTTATCCAATCAGAACAAGAAGGGAAACCAAAATCAGTGTACTGATAATGTAAGAAATTACTCTTTCTGAAAACTGTAGCAGACGCAGTGAATTTCTGCATAATGTTAATCTGGTTAGAAATGAAACCAGAATTTTACTGCACTGAATAAAAAAAAACACATAAACCTTTTTTTCCTCATTGTTTGAGGTTAAATCAGACCAAACGTCTCTTGTTTTAGGTCCATTAGGATTACCAAAATTATTTCTATTTGCTAAATAGAAATAATTTTGGCACAATAATGAAAGATGTCTTGTGTATTTAATGTATTAAACCCTCAAATTAATTTAAATGTGTCAGTTAAGTTTCCAAAGAAAGACATCATCATCTGAGCTTGGTTAGCTGCTCAACCTCAGCTAAACAAGATTGGTGGGATCAACAAACTAACTTAATCTTTGGTTACCTAGCAACTCACTCACTCTTTGGTTACCTAGCAACAACCTGTTGATTAAATGGCAGTTTCTGGTTTCTTCACTGTGCCTCATAGCTGTTTAAACATAAAAAAAAAACAACGGTAATGAGATAATCTGTAGGTAGATGTATGATCTTGAAGACATTACTGTGTAAATCTCTGACATATTTCTACTCATTATTGTGGCATTTAGCAAATACAAATAATTTAAGTAATTTTTATAATAAAACGAGGAAAAAAGGTGTTGGTTTTTCTTTATTTGGTGTACATAAACTTCTGGTCTCAACTGTACGTCTGATTTATCTCTCAGAGATAAATGTAGCACATCAGTAGTACACAGCAGAGTACGGAGCGACTGGGAAGAGTGAAATCTATACATAACAGAAGCGTGTTGTCATTGATTTCCCCAGCACCAAACCCAGGAACCGATCCACATCACAGACCTGCACGCCTTCATAGCCGAGTGTACAGATGCACCAACGTCTGGCAAGTTCAGGGGAGTGGAGACGTCTCCCTGCTCCTTCTTCTGCTGCTGTGACAGGTGAGCGCATCACTCATACACCCCATTAAATACTAAAATAAGAAGCGTATTTTAAGATGCACCTAACAAAATCATGCATGTGGAGTTTACGTACATGAATCGGGATTAAAATAACTTTCTGAGTCTTAAATAACATTTTGTTGTTTAATTTAAGGTCTGAAACCTCTTTTATGCTTTGACTCCTCAGAACAACAACATATGAAGACGTCCTGCTGGTGAACTGAGGATGAACTTATTAAGCTGAGTGCTCACCAGCCCCCCCTGCTGTCCAGCCGTGTGTATTGCACACATGTGGGCCAAACAGTCGGTACTGAAGGAGGAGTCTGGATCTACTGAAGGATCTACTCTCTTCCTGCTGGCACTTTGTGTTTGTTGAGAACTGAAGGACTGAACCTTTCTAAATGAGCATTACAGTGTAGCATCGCTGACGACTACTGCACAAACATTTCTGTTAGTTTTTATTGTTTTTAGAACAAAAGTCAGTATTTTTTTCTCTGTGATTCTGCATTGCTGATACAGAAGCAGCACAAACTGCTGGTGCAGAAATGTTACGGAAACTGTTTTTTTATGTTCCTTTACTTGATTTTTTTAAATATATATATTTTAGAAAATGTCAGATTGAAGACAATAACAGGTCCAGTTTTATTTTGTAAAATTCATGAGATGTATAACTAAAATGAAGACAACAAAGCTTCTGTGTAGAAGCTTTATTTCTTATGAATTATGATCAGAATGATGCAGATTCAGTATAATTTTTCTACAGCATTTCCTGTTGCAGGACAGTGTGTGTACCATGTGTTGCAGACACACTCACTCCACAGTCAGACTGTGTTGCAGTTGGTTTGTCCTCCAAAGCACTCCAAAGTGTGCACTTTTCTTTTAAATGATGCCAAAACACTATGGAGACTGTGATACTCCATTATATGTAAGTTAAAATGTTTGCAAATCCCCTCCACCCTCATCGCTGTAGAGAGAGAGACAACACTGATGGCCATTAAGAAATCGGATCTGACTTGAGTAGCCGGACTCTGGTTAGGAAACAATGATGAAAAACGATGGCTAATAATGGCTTCTCATTGTGACTCAGTTCTTTCCCGTTAACATAAAGCTGTCTTGTCTAAAACAGTTGCTCTGTTGGAGTCCTGAACTAACAAGATTTCTTTTTTTCTTGTACGCACAAAAGTTTGAAGAGTCTCAGGATGAAGACTCCTGGTCCAAAAAAAGGACTGAAGTGTTTCCTCTCGTGTTCAACATATCAGCTGAATCATTTTTTAAGTTAATTGTGCTGTACTATAATAGATTTTAAAAGTGCCTGTTTTATCAGTGACTTTAAATTAAGGCTCCATTACTGTCTTATTGCTAAGAAGTGTTTCTGCTTGACTTCAGTGTTTTATGTTGAGTTTTGGTGTTGATGTGCCTGTACTGTACCTCAGATAAACACTGTGTGAATTGATGTTCAGTCATCTGCTTTGTGTCATTTACAGTATCTATTGATCACCGTTCAGTTCCTCAATTATGAATTAAACTTTCTGGGTCACCTGTGATTTCTGCTGTTTTCTTTTGTCGTCTGAATGTTGCTGTAGTTCTCCTGTGTTGCCACCAGGGGGAGGAAGAAGTTCATGCAACGCTGTTCTGGGATCAGATTTCTGCCTGCATAAATTAGTGTTTAGTTTTGTTTGTATTTTTTAGTATTTTATGCAAAAACTATTCACATTTTATTGACTTTTTCAAATAAAAGTTGCATAGCTGCAGGATAAAAATTGACATACTTTTCAGAAGGCTTACATTTTCTGATACTTTTGTTTTTGTGTAATATTCTAAACATATGAGGCACACAATTTTGGATTTTCATTATCTGCAAGCAATAATCATGAAAATTACATGAAATAAAGGCTTGAAATATTTCCCTCTAATAAATCCATATAATGAGTTTAATTTTTAGAAAAAGCTACAAAAAAAGTGATATTTTAAACTTTTGAGCTGCACTCATACAGTCATATTCAGTAAAAATTAGAATATTATTAAAGAGTTAATTTTAGCAACTCATTTGATGAACTGAAATGATCTGTAGATTTATTACATAAAGACTGGTGTTTTCTGGCCTTTATTTCTGTAAGGTGATTTTGTGCTTACAGCTAATGAAAACAAGATTTAAGATCAGAAAATTACATCAGAGCAATCAGGGAGGAAAAATTTTAATACAGAAATGTGAAGTCAATGAATGTTGAAACTGCAGTTTATGAGATATAACTTTTTTTTTTTTTTCTTTTTTTTTTACATTTGACTCAAAATGCAGTTAAGTAAAATGTTTTTACAGATAGTCTTTTTTTTTCCCCTCTCCATTGTTGGCTGAAAAAACACGTTTTTGCTCTGCAACTTTCTGGGAAGGTGAATTAAGATCGATTTCTCTATGATTGGTTCCATTTCCTTGTTACTTCCCCAGCAGCCTTAGGAGCAACGGTATCACAGCTTCTCACCCACTTAAACTAATATCATCTTCCATTATGTACTACTCCGGCTTTACCTCATGTTAATGGCTCTGCGAGAGACCGAAGGAAATGTTCGCAGTTTTATGCATCCCACAAACCCGACTCATCTGTCTCTCCCCATGCGTGGACATACAGAAGCTTTCCTCAGTGACTTTAATGCAGACTGAAAGCCCAGAGGAAGTAGCTAATTCAGAAGCAACTAATGGTCTGTCAGCTGTTGCTTCTGTGTGCTAATGTAAGATCCTTTGTTGATTCCCAGTTTGATCTCAGTTTGAATTGAAATATGCTCCATTTGCTCAATTGTGACTGTGTTTGAACTGCAAGGCCTTTATACCAACAAAGCGCCTCGGATCAAACGTAGGTGCCTGCACCAGCAAGCCTTTCCTTTTCCTGCTGTGTTTGTGGGCTGAAATAATAAACTGTGCAGTGTCTTTTACCGTGCAGCTGTCTGCGCTGTGATGTGTCCCGCAGACCACACACAAAAGAATAGGAAGATCTAAAAGAAGCAGGTCTCTCCAGAAGAGCCTTTTGCGTTTTCAGCCAGTCGTAGTTCTGTTTAGGATTGGAAGAGCCCGGTTCTGAGCCACACCTCTGGGTAACAACATTATGTAGCAACATTATGAAGCTATCTGGAATGGATGGAAACCATTAGTGTCAGGCTTTAGGAGGAATTATACAGCAAAAACACAGACTCTTACAAAGTATTTTTGGTTTAGTTTCAAGGGCAAATATCTCGTTACACATGAAATAAGACAAAATGATCGTAAAAGTAACTTTTCAGCAAGATATCAGAGCTTGTTTTAAGAACTAATGCCAAAGGAGCATTAGTTCCTTAATTTTACCACACTTTTCAGTTTGTAAAGACTTAAAAGCCACGGATATCTCCTTCTGTTTCACAGTTATGTTGTATTTTGTGTTAGCATGAGATCAGATTTAAATACATGGAGGTTTGTTGGAAAAGATTTCCTTGACTGCTTGACTGAGATTCTGATGAAACCATGGCAGATAACTACTGGTTACCAGTCACTCCAATTTCCCATCATCCCTTTCCTTTTACGCCAAACGTCTTTGTTCTTCTTTCTCAGCATTTCAATGCAGAAAACAAGAGTTGATGTCTGAGTCTTTTCACCCTAAAAGTCTTTCCGGGGAGCTGAAGACTTCTCTGCGTGTTTCCCTCTTGTCTCCGTTTTCTATTCTGTGCTTGTGCTTTTCTGCAGCTGCATGTTGAAGAATCAGCATTCACAGAAAAAGCATTTAGCGTTCGTCCATTCAAAGCTTGTACCATAGGAGAGAGAAAACTGTAGGAAACTTTGGGAACAGGAAATGAACAATGTAAACCTTATAGAGACTTTCCCATGGCTCAAGTTTCAACTATCCAAATTTCAGAAAACAGACACTCCTTTATTCAGCTCTTGCAGTTTAGTATCTTGGATTTTTTTTGTTGTTGTTTTTTGCTAAAGCAGGAATTAAACACAATGGTGAAGTTGGGAAAAACCTTAGCAGGGAGGAGTTGGTGTGGAGAATCACTGATTTATCTAAGTACACTGAAATTTTGGAAAAGTTCAGTCTTCAAAAGGATTTAAAACCAAGGCTGGTGGATGCAATTTTACTCCTGAAGACCCAACTGAGACGTTAACTTTTACTAGAAGTGGGAATCAGTGGCGACTGGTGAAACAGATTCTTGGAAATAAAAGCTTGCCATCATTAACTTTATCACCATAGCAACGCAAAACTTTCCAGCAGTTTCTATGGCAGCGGCAAAATTCAGAGATCCCGAAATACATTAAATTCACTGATCCTGATTGGTCAAATGTTCTTGTTTTTCCCTAGCAACCACACACGATTGGTTATTTAGATTCTCTTTTGGGGCGAGAAACGTCAAGACTCTTGGATGGCTACTTTTTACTTTTACTTGAGTAAAAATATGTTGAAGTAGTGCTACCCTTACTCTGAGTTGGGTAGTAACTATTTACAATAACTTTTTTGAAAAAATTTACTTTTAGTATTATTTTTACGACATCATACTTTTTGCTTTACTTGAGTAATTTTATTATGAAGTATCGCTACTCTTATTTTCTGACGAGTTAAATTTCTGGATTCTCTACCCACTGTGAGTAACTTCACCGAATGAAAAACAAACATGTCTTAACCAAAACCCACCTGCAGTTTTTATAAGGTTTCGTACGTTTTTTATTGAAATACATGAAAAAGATTATTTTGCCTTATTTTATTTTTTGTTACTAATATGGATTTTTGTCATTTGTCTCCTTAATACACTAAAATTTCCACTTAACTTTATAATTAGTTATATTTTTAAATATTACTTTTTACCAAATACGTTTTTACTCCTTCTTGCGTATTTTCTTGGATGGCTACTTTTACTTTTACTTGAGTAAAAATATATTGAAAAAGTGCAACTCTTTTTGAGTGTCACTCTGGGTACTCTGCCCACCCCGGGCCCTGTTATAAAATAATCCGCCTCTGTTTCAGTGAACCACTGATATCCTCTTAGCATCCAGGCAGTGCATGGAGGCCCCCCTCTGAGTGGGCGGAGCTTCCTGCCTGGACTCTCTGACATGAGCTCGAGTCTCATTTTGACGTCAACTTTGTTTTGCATAACCCCCCCCGTTTGGCGGCTTTGATTGGACCGTTTACAGGATTTTAACTCAATATTTTTTTTTTTCTTAATCTGTGCAGACCACGCTTCTTCGTTGTTGTGCAGCTGGACGCCTCGTCACCGCCTTCCTGCTCCTCTTCCTCACCCGGGTCCATCCTTCAAGAAGGAGAACCGCCTGTCGCCGTTGAAACGTGGAGGGAAGGGCACGCGGAGGGACGCTCGCATCAGGGCGCGCGGCTCCATTGTTAATTTGGTGCCGGTTTGTGTCGACATTATTTGCTTCAGGGCTGGTTCTGATCCGGAGGAGCTGCTCTCATCTTCAAGTGGTGCTGAAGAACAACGTCGGCGGTCCAGAAGGTAACATTTTCTTTAGTAACGCTTTGTCGTTTTTCTGTTCAGGGGTGATTTAATTTAAGTCACGTCTCGGCACCTTGTCGTCTTTGTTTTCTCTGCTAAAAGAAAGTGCATATTTTGTTTTGGGGTTACGTTTGTTTGCGTTATTGGAGTAGCCGGCTTGTAGCCAGACGGCTCGGTTTCGGCTGGGCCGTGGTTGGAGTAGCTTTTCCTCCAGAAAAAGGACATGGGTGTCTGTCTCCGGCGGTGAAAGAGGCGCCTGGGGTTGCTTTGCGTTCAGTTTATTGACTAATCTCATGTGCTTCACCCTGCAGGCTCCCTTTGCGCATTATTGCTATTGTTCTGTCAAGGCTGGACCGTCCTCTTTTTTTTTTTCCTGCTAAACCAGGGAGGGGAGGTTTGGTGTTTTTGTTTCCAGAAACAAATGGTGTTATTAAAGCTCCACTTGAGACCCACTTTAAAAAAAAATCATAAACAATTGGCCTCCTGGGGCCACACTGAGGCCCCTTATGGGGTCCCATTAGTGCAGTAAGTGTCCCTCAACTACCTGCTTTTAAAAGAAATTTAATTTCCTTTGTAATTAGGGATTAAACGCCCTGTATTGAGTGTTTGTAAATCTTTTTGGGAAAAGTGTACCTTTTCTCATAACTCCCTGCTAAGATTAAATCAGTTTTTCATATTTGCATCCAGTGATCTCATTGTTGACTGTTCAGAGCAGAGTGAAATGGGCAGTCTATCAGGAGTACAAATCTCAGTGATGGAGAGATGCTGGTTTGGCTTGCAGCCTGCATTACATAATCGGAGTGTTGTGGACATGGCTGGGTGTGGTTGGCAGGGTTTAGATGTGACGAGCTGCACTTCTCCTCTGGCTTTAGACGGACGAGCGTTGGCGTGGGATGTCTTCTGTCTTCTTCTAAAACTTTACTCGCCTCCCCCAGGGTGTGAATTGCACCCTTTTTGTGGTTATTCTGAATGTTTGACCAGTTTCCAAAGATTCACTTCAGAAGCTTAATTTCAAATTAATTTATCCCCACCTTCCTAAAATAATGGCCCAAGTCTCTTTTTCTTTTTTGTCAAAACCGGT